CTTCACTAACATTTATTTGTACCTCCGACAGGGTCCGTACTACCCACACTGAAATCCGCAGCTGCGCTAGTGTTACCGCCGATTGATTTGGACTGCGGCATCGCTGGAGAAGCGCAGAAATAAGGAGAGAATACGTCATCGATTGCGGCGCATCACAACAAAGTCATTATGGGTTTGTTTTGCAGATTGTTGACCAATGTCGCTTGTTCCTATCAGTGAGTAATGGTGGTCTCCCACTATGTGGACGGGACTCTCACAATATCTTTTTATTTGTCTTTTGGCATAGCCAGTTTTGGCTTCAATTTCCCGTTCAGAGTGGACAAACAGCCATGCTCCAATAGTAATTCTGCGTTCAGGTTCAGTTAGTTCTGCATGTGCTCTCGAAAATTATGATAAAAATGTTTTTACTCAACCATTTGACATTTGTTTAAAACTACAGGTAAATTGTTACAAAACCCAATTGAGATCTCGTTTATAGCGCAAACGGTTGGGCAGTTATGAATTTTTATCGCATCGCTTAATTGTTTCGTTTTATTGTTTCGTTTTCGGTTAAATATTAAACTCGGGTATAAGCAAACTCGAATTAATGTGCTATAGTAATAGTAATGGCGTGGGCGATCGAAAAATCTAATATTAAGGGGTGGTCGGACAAGATACTCCAACTAAAAATTATCATGTCTGTTTAGCAAAGCTACGGGTATGTTTAATTAATCTAAAAATCATTGTTGAGATAGCTCTAACTATTAAACGTCAGAACAGAGACTCAAATTGATCATTCTTACAATAAGCTATTTTTATTGGGTTCCCCCACGGTATAGTGGCGGCTAACGAATTTCTTTTTCAAATACTCGAATTTACTATAGTTTACTAGATTTATTAATCAGTCCGAGTACAACTATGTTCATGATGAATCGGCCAAGAAGCGTTTGGCACTCATAGGAGCAATCTCAGATAAAGTGCTACCTGATATGAGAAGCTTATCGACAAGCTTCCTAATATTTACAGTGAACCCTTCATAAATGCACCCTTCATAAATGCACACCCTCCATATTCGGGTCCGGTTCATTTTATCGACAATCATTTCACCGACAGTACGTTTCACCGACATAAATTTCATCGAAAACCAATGATAAGTGCGATAAAACAATGTATCACGTGAAATGACTGTCGGTGAAGTGTACTGTCGGTGAAATGATTGTCGATGAAATAAATGCCTCCCCCATATTCTACATTAAGAAATTACACACACTCGCTGATTATAAACAAAGAAATTACTGTGCCCCTATTATAGACAAAGGCCAAATAAAGAAATTACTATGCCCGGTTATATTGGAATCATACGAAAATTCAACTGCCGCCACCGACTCTGATACAACCAACACGCCAACGCTAGGAGAGCTATATCTCTCACCTTCCTGATACTATGTCAATTGAAGAATTTTTGAGTAACCCGGAAGAAGACGAGGAGATTTACCTACCGATAACAATAGCGAAGAAGCCGATGACAGTATTGAATCACAATATACCATATTTGGGGGTCGGCTAAAGCGGAGTAGTTTTTTTACAATTTCATTGGTTGATATACAAATTTGACCAATGTAATTGCAAGAATCAGGTCACGTTCTACTCCGCTTTAGCCATCCTCCATATTTGTTATCATGCGCAGTGTGCAACAAACATTACATACGTGATAGATTTTACCACAATAAATAACCAATGATATTTACTTATTTCCTAATTTCACGTGCAACCAATCAAACTTACCCTCCATAAATGCACACTCCCAAGGGCGTGCATTTATAGAGGGTTCACTGTTTGTATACTACAATGGGTTATTATATCATTCCTTCATATGCAACATCGCAATGTCTTATCACTTGTTATGGCGAATGTATCCAGTTAGTGTAACTTCTTTTTTTTTTGTCGTCCAGTTCATTGGGTCAATTGACCTGAATCCATTGTAAATGCATAGAATTTTCTGTGGCCGATGAACCGCCTATAAAATTCATTCAGCTCCGGTATAACGTGATTTTACTATTACTATTTGTATTAAGTTAGAATTCGTTACAACCTTATTGTACGACGATAATAATCTAAAATAGGCTAGTACAGGTACGAATAAGTGTAAACCGGAATTTATAGTTTATCATTATTATGATCATTTGTAAACTTCCGATAATCTCTTCTAATGCATCAATGCAGTGAGACACCAGCACATCCTCTATTGTCTTTGCTGACGATACCACCAATGCCCTGCGGGATAACTCAATCAGAAATACACGATCTCTACGCCACCCACTTCAATAACATAGCAAACATCCTCCTAATTAATACCTACTTATACCTGCCTAATGATGAAGTATATTCCATAGTGGAAATTGAATTCTATCTACGAGACGTAGCTTCCGATCACGCTGATCCCTACACTCACGGCCATGTACACCAACTCACGTGCGGGGAGTGGTACTTCCATCGTGTCGGGAAGAATGGGTATCGAGGCGGAACACGTAAAGGTGTGGACATCACGTTCGGATCCACTGAGAGGAATATTTATGGTGGAATATTGATTCGCAGCATTAAAAATGAACGAAGCGGTGGCGTGATCGAAGGCCCTAGTCTCGTTGTTGACCAAATCTTAAAAGCCTGTGGGGTCAATATGAACGGAGGAATTTGCAAGTTGGTCGAAACGATTTGGTCTTTCAAGAACGGTGCATTGAAGGACATGGAAAATTCTAATAATATGGTCTATCTCGAATTAAAGCCTTCAATCAATAATACAACTGCCGTCGATAACGTTGGCGTATTACCCGCAACGAAGAAGAGAAAGTTGGGTGAAAGCGGAAGCAAGAAACAACGGAATATTAGTGATGGTAAAAACCCCACTGAAAAATCTTTATCCATTTACAACTCTCCGCGTGTAGGACTTACTTTGACAGATACACAAAAGATAGCTTATCTGTTTAAGCCATACAGATACTTCACTCAACCATTTTTGTTAAAAAAAGGGCGTGGTCAATTGATTGCCGGCCTTATTGCTACTGTGCGTGATTGTCAAGAAATAGCAAAAATAGCCGGATTAACAGTTTCGACTGTATCGTCGTATTATTCTGATTACGCAAAGGGAAAAGAATCTTGTAATATCACTGAATTTATGGGGAAGCGCCTGAATACAGTAATGTATGTTCGTATGGCGGGCGTAGTCGATTCAATGAAATAAAGTGTGTGATTGGCAGATCGTATCACATCCGCGCAAATTTCCAAGAATAGAAGTTACACAACTCTAATGTGGAAAAATCAAAGGCTATCATATATATTTGTATACAAGGTCACTATCGAGAAGACAAATTTCAAACTCCAAATTCCAAATTCCTACTTGTTCGCGCTCTTCTGGCACTGTATAAAGGAATAATGCATACCCAAGTAAAAGACCAGAGGCAGGCAAACGGAGGACATGAGAGGAATTTGGACACACCTCAATGCTTCTGTCAATTAGACGCTTCGCCTGCATACTCTGAAGAGTTTGATTTACTGTACGAATGTCATTGGATGCATCACAACTTTGAAGACAGTAGAAGTGAAGAACCAAGCGAAGAACTAACCGGTGATAATGACACTAAGAACACGGAACAAGCACCAGAGAATGAGGTACGGTTATTAATACCTCGTTGCTAGTTCTCGGCTTCGATCTTTAACAGGCTCTTATATTTCTGAATTTCGTTACTGCCAGTCTCTAATAACAGGGAACGAAAGTTCTGACATAAATACCAAGTCAAGTAAAAATGATTACGTTTGTGGCTTCCATGTTCACAAAGATGCCTGGGACAGTTTCTTGGAGGGCAAGATTGATCCCAAACATCCCGAGCTCAGTGTATGCCCATACTTCAACTATACCTTCTGCGTATTCTTTAACACGAAGAACATCTACAAAATCTCTTTTCCTCCAGCACCGAAATGTCACTGTGGAATCCCTGTTACGATCCGATATTCTCATAACCGTGAGAAGTATATATTTGGCTGTGAATATTATCCGATCACCGGAGCAAAACCAAAATGTGATTGGTATGCCTGGGCAAAAACTGTAGCGTTTCCGAAACCTGTAGATAGCATTCATCCATTGACAGAGCAGATTCCGGACAATGTATTAGAATCAATAAACGCTGAACATAGCTCTTTCGATGAAAGTTTCACCAAGAAGACCGAATTAGCAGACGAGACATATAGTATAGATCAGATTGAGAATCATACGTTACTGAGAGAAAGAGGGCGACTGGACAAAATTCGGAATAAAGGAAGAACAAATTCATATCGCCTAGACTCACGTCGCGATCCTCCACGAAAGTTATATAACGGTTATTCTTACAATAAGTCGGAGTTGACGCACCGACATTCAAATACAAATGGGAAACGTTCCAGATCTAATAACGGCTTCGATCACTCTTACACAAGAGAGAAACATGACAGCTCTAAATTTGCCAGCCGTGGACGCTCTACGTTTGATAAATCAACTAAGCAATCACAGCCTTCAACAAGGCTCTCCGATACTATTAGTGAAAATGGATGGGGTCCGCAAAATCGGCGGTGCTTAGAAACTGGGTTGGACGCCGGGATATTATGGGATAACGGAATACAAGCTCCAATTAGATCAAACACAAATAATGCGAATCGCAACACACAGCTCGGTAGCAATTCTACGCGGCATCCTCACAAAGAAGAACAACGTAGAAAGAAGCGTCCAGATGATGATGCAATGGAAGATGAAGCCATGGAATCCCGTAGGAAGGCGATGGTACATAAAGAATTGAATACGGCGGGGGGCCCCTGCCGGAATGATAAAGATTCGATAGAGGATGACCAACACCAACAGAACACAAGAGACAAACCCAATGTCGGTCATGGGTATGAACGAGATACAATCTCTGAATCGATATTCACGGAAAAGCCTCGTCCCGATTCGCATGCCTTTATCTTTCCTGTAAACACTTATGCCAAAGTTAAACCGCTCAGGATCTCAATTCCGTTGTCGCCGATATCGAGCACACCAGACTCCGCATCGAATACGACTTATTCGAATTTGACATATTATTGTGTAATGAACCAGTTTTCACAAACACGTCCCTGTTTTGCTTACGAGCAGCATAACATTATTTCGGGTGCATCTATAGACTCTAAACATCAGCAATTGCTTGTTTTGGACGATGAAATTAAATGTTTAGAAAATAAAATATCAAGCATGCAGTTTGAGAACGCACGTCAGAAAAGATTGCAAGAGAATGAAATGGAAAAAGAAACAAGATTACGACTATCATGCCAGAAGAAAATTATTGAATTAGGCGACTTGGTGGCAGAGCAAAAAGCGAAGATACAGGAGTTAACAAAGGAGATGGAGAACGATAAAAAAGAAAAAGCAACGACGAGCATGAAATGTCGCGTGTGTTTTGAGGAGACTATAACGCATGCAGTTGTGCCATGTTATCATTTAGTCATGTGTGCTAGATGTGTGCATGCTGTGGAAAGATGCTGTGTATGTAGAAGGGAAAAAGAAGATGTTGTGAGAATTTACTTTGGATAGAAAAGGGTGGGGTTTTTAATATAAAATAGGTCTCGAACAGGCCACAATAAACTTTTATAAATATTGCGTTACTTAATGCCTTTGCTTTGACTTCAAACTTCGACCCTGCGTTCATTGATAACTGTTATACAAATTTTTTAAAAGCTGAGAAAATAACTGCTTTCCTATTGATCGAATGACTAACCCAGAGCCTTTAATAACTTGGAGGCATCGTACGATTCGTAAGGAAATATCTGTAGTATTGACGACACGAGCGACATCACACGCGACGTGTCATACCGAAACATTCAGTGCCATTGATCTGTGTGTCTCCCATGCTATAGTTTCTTCTTATTGACCTAGAGGGCGACCACGAGAAAAAGAGGAATGCAGTTCGTACGGTGAAAATGTGTTCTTTGATTTTCCGTGAACCTGCTGACTAGTTTTGGAAGAAACACACTGCTTGCCAATCGAAGAAGCTTTGGATGATATTCAGAACAATACGGCGGATAGAGATATGGGAAATGTTCCCAACTACTTACAAATATTGTATAGCACTAATTACAGCGAGAATCAACAGTTTATCAACTTTTGAATCTGTGGTATGATTACTCTAGTGCGTGCGACTAAGATGATGTCTGGTTACATTGAATAGTCCCGCACTTGTCTCCTTACTTGCCTCTGTTCGTATAGTCTTGTAACGGCCAATATCATGTTCATAGTGTCCAATTCACCCGGTACAGGATAGTTAAGTATAACGCGTTGATGGTGCTCTCGCGAGAACTCTCCAATCGCTGATCATACAATGACAATTCTCCGGTCCCAGCGTCTACCAAGTCTTAGCAACCCAGATAGCAAGACTTGGCACATTTTCCACATCCATGTCTTTATAAGTTCAATAGTAATTGGTTCTCAAACATGGTGTGCTTATAGATGGGGTGACTATAAAGAGGGTTGATCGTATACTTGATTGTTGTATTGCATTAATCTTCCTTTCTTGGCAAACTGGCAAACTACATTTACTTTATAGTAATGCTCATGTTCTGTCCGATCTTTGCATTGAATTGAAATATGACCTAGTCATCGCTTGCATGAAACTTTAAATGGTACAAAAACTGATTTTTATGCGACTGACAATACGACCATTTGAATTCACTTGGCCTAATAGAAATTGAGTTTATTTCGGGCATACTAACAACGTTTATTGTCCTACAATAAAGACAAATGCAGGAGGGTGTGCATTTATGGAGGGTGCATTTATGCTGTATATAACAACACATATACTATTTCTTTTTTTTTGAAAAGCAGAATAATTAGATGCTGGATTGCTACATTCAAAGACGAAAAAAAAATTAAAATTGCCAAGGTCGAGGAATTTATTAGCATTTCTACTAAAGAATTAAATAACAAAGTAAGCATTTCTCATGAAAGAATTACCTACGTTTTGCACGATGAGCTGAGCCTCCAGAAGAACAACCGTTTGTGATGTCATGCTTCATCACGACGATGCTGCACACAGTATCTTCATAGCGAACGAGTGGAACTTCTTCTCCACCCGCCACACAGTCCAGACCTTGTGGTTTTTTCTTATTCCATCAAATCAAAAAGAACTGAAGGGGATAAGGTCGAAATTATGGCAAGGGCAGTTCAGGCAGTTGTTGAAAGTGTCCCAAAAGAGGACTATGAGAAGTCGTCCCAGAGTTGGCGAAATCGGCTAGAGAGTACGTCGAATGAATCAAATAGTTGTAAGCCCGAGCTACTTTGTGAATTTATTAATATGCTTTTTTTCTGCTTTTTCATTAATCTATTGCTGAATGCTTTTTTATCTACTTCATAAGTAATAATTAATACATCTCATCATCGATGCTTGGAATAATTTCATAGTAAATTATTTAAATCAATCAAACATTTGGTTTTCAGCATCAACTTTAATCTCGAGAGTAATTGATCGTCTATCTTTGCACTTTCTTGTAGAATTCATAGTTAATGAAGACATTCTTAAAGAATTAAAATTTTGATAAATAGCACGCGAATAACTCCATTTAGTGTGGATAGGGATACATATTCCAACTCGTCCGAAATATTTATGGGCAACTAGAGATCTTTTAATGAAGAATATGTCAATTTGACGGAATTTCATGAGTATGATCAAGTAGAGAAAGCAATATTTGCTTTATTATTATGGGCGCTTCAGAATCCGAGCGACGTTAAATATGACATAGTATACGCGCAACCGGCATCAGAAAGTAAATTGGCCATGGTCTTTTATACGGACGCGTCAGCGGGTTTTTATTTTGACCCGACACAAGATCAAATGAAACACTTACGAAGGGGGCAAAAGTCATGCAACAATTTGCAACAATGGAACAATCTCTTAAAAGTGCATATAATTATTAAATTTTACAAATAGAGTACAGTGAGACCTTTTTTCACCGTTCTTTATTATTTCAATATTTGCTCCGGAATACATTTCGTCAACTACGCTACTAGAAATAGGGTTGGTGGTCTCGCAATATAGCTATCGGAAAAGGGTTTGCGGGTGGATTTTACTATAATCCGACAAATACCACAAACAATTTGAATACACATTACGAAATTATGTAAGAAAAGCGACACAGCTGACGATTTAATTTCTATGCCATAAATTTTGTACTAGCAGCATTATTAAGACCGTTCTTATCCGATTTGTTGTCTCTTAATCCAATCGACTATCATCATGCCTTGGCCTTGTTTGCCTCTGACCGGCTGGTATTTGTAGTTGGGATATTTTATAGCGTGTTGCATTTTAGTGACGTCATATAAGGCGTGCCAGAAATTCTTCTCCTCTTGAGGAAGATTCCGTCAACTTTCTGCAGCGATACGAGAATATTCAGCAACCGATAATGTATTTCCTTCTCGGGTGAATCTGGCCCTTATATTTTTTCGATATAGCATGAAGCAATTCTGTGGACGCGGGACGAGTCGTTCTTTTCTGCGGGGTCAAGTAGTTCTTTGAGAGGTAACGTTAGTATGGATATTGGGATAAACTCGTCGGACTTCTTCTATCATTTCTTCAACCACTTGGCTGAATTGTAAACACTCGGACTCGGGAGTTCTGACATGGTAGCTACTAGGTATAAGAAGGAGCGTTTAGTTAAACAATAAGTTACGATAGTTTGTTGAAGGGTGGGGGTGTCAGAGAAATAAACATTTCAGTCATACCTTTGAGTAGAAGTAAATTGGAAGGGAAGAACAAATATCTGCAATTGTGCATTGATGCCATATTTGAATCATATTGTTTGATTCGGATAATAACAAAGTTCACCGGCTTTTTCTTAGATGAATGACAACAACTAATTTGGAAACCAGTCTTATTGGCCAATAAACCAATGTGTAGAGATTGAATTTGGGGCGTAAACTTAGTCTCTCTCACTCTCACCCTGTTATATCAGATAGTCGAGTTAATTGCAACTGAAATCTTCGAATAGTACCCGAAGCCCTTCTTTCGCATACGTTCAACTTCATCGGATGACGTATCTTTCCGTCATAGAAAGAAATCAATAATCTAGAAAGAAAACAATAACGAAGTACCGAATGAAACCTGGTATATTAATCATGTGGTTAAAGAACACTAACCTCTTGAAATTTCTTGTAGAAACTCTTCTTCCAATAAAGCTGTCATGTCAATGTCCACATCTCCAACGGATGACGCGTAATCTTTCCCATAAGCAGCTTGAAATACTTCCCATTCGCTCGCGAAGCCACTGATTAAAAATTAAATGCGGACTCTCATCTGTCATAAACCCTCCTCCTTGCGTTAAAAGCATTCATTCTGTTTTGTTGCTTGTTGCTTTTTTTTTTTTTTGACGCCTGTACTCATAGTAACTCACACAAGGTTACACCACGCCTATTGTATTACGCCCGTAATTTGGATTCACTAACAAGATTGCTTTATATCACCTGAAGATACTAAGTAAACCCCCCCAACACATATAGTTCTTCAGAAACCTCGGAATCACAGCTGTTAGTACGCAAAATTACAAGGCCGTAAGTTACATGAGTCGGTCAATATCGTCTAGATCGCTTATCGATCCTTAACCCTAAGTACGTAGATTTTACCGATCAATTGCCGATGGAGATAATGAACGTTATAATACCCATACATTTAACATTGAATTCATCACTGCGACATCGTAACGCAACATTTTATGGAAATATTTTGTCTCTATTACTATAGGAGGGTGATGCGTCAGAAGCCGTTTAAGTGATCAACAAACGTATTATAATTAGTATTTGGATTTATTGGTTGAATATCGTTTTTCCTTGTATGGTAGACAAATCTTTCGCTTTAGTACAGATTATCGTAATTATCGCAAATATGTCGACTTTACTTATCCTGATAAACGGTGGTGTTGTCAATAAACTCACCCATCTACCAAATATAAGCTTCAGCCTAGAAATGTGAGGTTTTGAAACATGTAATGGTATTATTATGAGCTGTCATTGAGGGTTTTGCAGAGGTCATCCTTCACGCTTTCTAATATTAAAGCCCTCGATTCTGATTAGTTGTGTTGTAGATACAAAATGCAAGTATTCCCAATACTATCAACTATAACACAACTCCCTTGCCATGCGTCATGGTAGAAAGACAACAGGCAAAGCCTGAGTACAAAGCACAGCAGTAACAACAACAATCTGCACCAAAACCCGAGTCGTTCATTTTCTCTTTCGTTTGCCCCATCATGCCATTAGTTGCATTAGAGAAAAGCAAAAATTGAAAAGCATACTATTCCTCGTAAGTTACGCAAGGCAAAAAGCAGGCTTTGATGCGAGTCTGGGTACGGAGAAACAGTCGAATAGATCAGCTTTCCACCCTCCTTGACTTCTTGTAAGATTATGTTGTGGGCGCTCATCCCGGGTTGCATTTTGTTGCGCCATGTTATAAAGAAATCGGAAATGGAACTAGTTAATCAGTAATGGTCATCCGTAAAATGACCGACTCCGTTCGCGACATTATACTAGAAAGCTGTTATAACACCACTAGTTTACATTACATTAATAAAAACCATTGGTTTCTACTAGCAATGGATACAATGAACCTAATTATAAATAATTATAATCTTCGCTATAATAACGAATTTCTGGTTTAAGGAATATTTTCTCTGGTCCCGTAGAATTCAGTGTATAACATATCATTTCCTAATTAGGGTGTTGTGTTGGTAATTTTTGTTCACGTAGGAAACGTAACACGGTGGGTTTTTTTTCTAGAGGTAGTAAAAAAGGAAATATTCTCGCTGTATGATTGATTGTGCTTATACAGTATAACTTATCGCGAGGAACTTTTATTCACAACGAGGCGTTCGCAGAGGAAGAGAATAAAAGCCCATATGACGGACTTATTGGGGGGATGGGGGGAGATATCTATTCTTTGAACATTATGGGTATAACAAAGTTACGCCTGCGAAATTTTGATGGTGAAAGGAGTGATTTCGATATCCCCAATGTTTCATATTTGGAACAAGGGGATGCTTTTCTATTTTTAATCCAATTCAAAGTAATTGGGCCTCAATTAAGAAAAATAAAAAAAATAATAAAATACTGCGGTTTATCATAAAGTTTAAATATGTGTATAATTGCTCAAATGTTTAAACCTGGGTTTTTTCCTTACCGAAACACACTAGTTCATACCCACAAACGTATTGTATATAATCATCATGAAAATTCTATTGTTAATACTGGGTCTTACGACTATATGTAATATCACTTTTGCTATAGCACCCATAAAACGGGAAGACGGATTATCTGTTGCTTTGCGGAGTGGAACAGCATTATCATCCAACTCATCTTTGGTAGAAAGGGATGGTTGCAATCCCGGCTATTTCCCATGCCCAAGTAGTCTACTTTGTTGTTCAACAGAATGCGGCTCAGCTTGCGGTATTGCCTACTGTTGTCCGCCAGGCCATCATTGTTGTTGGGCAGGCGCTTATTGTTGTCCGATAGGACAAGATTGCGGTGATCTTAGTGGTTATTGTAAGAAACAAGGAAACTCGTCGACGTCAACATCACCAACACCAACACCAACAACAAAACCAACAATAGCAACGCCAATGACGTCATCATCACCATTATTCAACTCTGACTCCACTACCTTATCACTGTCATACCTTCCTGTAATCTTATCCATGATCCTAAGCTTTGTGTTTTTAGTTTAAAATTCTATTCAGAATTTTATAAAGTTTTATTTGGACAACTTTTTATAAAATCACGTGGATTTCAGCATCAGACGCGACAATAATTATGATTTGGCTAAATCTGAAATGAACGCTTTGAAAGACTTGATCGAGTCTCAAAGACATTTAACCACTGTTTCATTTGAGTTAATAACGCCATACTGCTCCTGGAGGCACTAATTATCAGTCAAGGTCATTCGTTGGAAGAGCTATGTTTCCGATTTGAGAACTGTTCATTGGAAGGGAATGCGAGGAGACAAGTCACATTTATTCTTCGAGAGTATTGTTATTAATATCAACTTTTCAACACAACAACATTACTTGCAAAACAAGAAGAAAGATTTTTTCAATATACGGGTGTATTTACGGATTTTTACAAGCTTTTGTTGTTTTAAGGAAAAGGTTTTCGATTTTTGCTTTCATTTTTAAAAATAAGTATGTAGAATTTTTGTCTGGCTTTTTTTGTGGAATTTTGTTACACCACAGATACGGTGTCCGATTTGCCGGCAGTCTGGCCATCTCGGTAATAATAAAAAGCATTGGAAATATAGACAGACATTCAAATATTGGTAACTAATTGACGAAGTAGATAAGGTTTATGAAACAGTATCGCAAGGATGAAAATATAAGTCACTGTTTCGTTCATTATCTAGCTCCAACTCAATATCTTAATTGTACCACAATAATTTGTAGATAAGAATTTATTTCTTTTAACGGATAATAAAAACGCAGATAATAATAAAGGAATGGATCACAACCCGGCCCTTCCCGTATATATATAGTCCTAATTAACATATCTTTAGGATTATCGGATTATCTAATCTAGCGATCCACATAATTAGTATTAGTATTACAAAGTTAGGTTATCAGATGAGGTTAAGTAATATTAATATTGCCTTTGAGATCTCTTAGGAATGAGACAATCAATATTAGTATATGGCTTTTTTTCCGGGCCTTTTCCGTATAGAAGAGTAGTTACCTAATTAACATATTTTTAGGGTTATCGGATTATGGATTAAAGAACAGAAATACTAGGAAATTTACCGGAATTTATAGAAGCAATGGTAACATATAAAATTTATAACGTGCCAACATTAAACTATCAATTTGTGAATATTTAATTAATCTGTTGATAACGCAAAATTTCTATTTCAATAAACATAGAACCGATGATGCCTTCTAAAGCTTGTGATTCACATTCCTTGTTTACGTGTATACGGTTGCAATAATATCAACATTAGTAAATCAATTATCAATACATTAGTAGCTAACAACTGCCCAAGCTGATTAAGTAAATAATATCAGATATTGAGCTCTGCTATTGGTATATTTGATATCGGTTTATTGAACTTATTAATTCTTATATGAGGGTGAACAAAATATCGAACTTGCGTGATTTTATACATACCGAATGCAAGTAAAAAATCGTGCCCTCCTGTATCAATGCAGGCTTGAACACGATTTTGTATACTAGTTATACTGTTGAGAACTATTATTATCAGATTCCCTCCCCTCTGAAACTATATATAGAAACAAACTCATTTAGGGGCAGTTGAAAAGGATTCTTCGAAAGACGCGTCGAATAAATTGCCCTTCGATTAATTTATTCTTCGAGTAGGAATTGCCGTTAATCGCGTTCTATTCTTGTGAGTTGTAAACACTGAATGATCGTTTATTGTCTAAAAGGAAAGCTGTACGCAACGATGTGAAGTAGTTAGGAAAGAATAGCTCGTAATAAGTTTAATTATCTGCCGGGCGCGGCCAAATATTTTTTTGTTACACACCATATATATCACATGAAGTCATAAAAAAAGATTAAACGATTAGGAGCATATTACTATGGATATTGAAGAGTTCAGAAAACGTGGATACGAAGCAATAGATAGGATATGCAAATACTACAAGGAACTTGATTCGGTGAAAGGTTCAATGTTAAACGGGTTACCCGTCATGTTAGCATCTTGATTGTTCATAATGTTAACAATTTGAATATGTAGTTCTACCAGAGGTAAAGCCGGGTTATCTGAAGAAACTGCTTCCCAAACATGCGCCTGAAGGTTGAAATGTAGGACATCGTAATTAACTATAACTAGACATAATGCTATAATAATTTCTATTCGACTCGTAGAAGCGGAGCCTTGGGAAGATATACAAGCTGACTTTGAGTCGACTATCTTGCCTGGAGGTAATGCAATTTCGATCGCGACCTGCGTTGTCCGCTCATTATGACCGTCATTTCTTACATCGTTTGACTTTTACAAGTCACCCATTGGCAAAGCCCAAACTTCTTTGCATTCTACCCGGCGAATTCTTCATTTCCTGCAATAATTGCTGATATGTTCAGTGATATGATTAACTGTGTGGGATTTAACGTAAGATGAATCGCTAGTTATGATGTCTTAGAACCAAATTGACCAGTTTTGTATCGGATTTATTCCACTTTAACTTTCTCCTAGTGGATATGCTCGCCTGCTTGCACAGAATTAGAAACAATCGTCCTTGATTGGGTCAACAGATTAATAGGGCTGGATGATGGATATCTAAGTGATGGAGAAGGTGGTGGAGTTATTCAGGGAACAGCCAGTGAAGCCGTTTTAGTAGTCATGCTTGCTGCTAGACAGCGTGTAATTGACGAATATAAAAAAAGAGGCTACACCGAAGAAGGCATAGCAACGAAGTTAATTGCTTATGGATCTGATCAAGTAAACAAAACGGTCTAATTACCATAGCAATATTCGTTCATCTATACAATTTATTATTTATTCCCAAATTTACTAACTTAGGCTCACTCATCCATCGAGAAAGCATCAATGATTGTTAACTGCAAATTCAAAGCTATACCAAGCGATGATAAGTTCTGCCTCAGAGGATCGTCTGTTCGTTCGGTGATGGAAAAGGACATCGAGGAAGGCCTAATACCCTTCTTCATCACAGCAACAATAGGAACAACAAGCTCAGCTGCAATTGACTATATTGATGAAATAGCCTGTACATGTAAGTAACAACTACTTACACCTTCCAGTAGTTCGTAATATTATTTGCTATCTTCATTCCGATCAACCGTATATTTTGCTTACAGTGGAAGGTACAAGTGTATGGCTCCATATAGATGCTGCATATGCAGGTGCTGCGCTGGTTTGTCCAGAGTATCAGTACCTGCTCAAAGGGGTCGATAGATCTCAATCGTTTAATTTCAACATGCACAAATGGCTGCTAACAAATTTTGATTGCTCGTGTTTATGGTATGGCTGACAGAGGAATGTTTAATCTCTTTGTTCCGTCTCCCGGTTTCTAAACCATCTAACTAATACTTAGGGTAAGAAAGAGATCACATTTATTGAATGCATTATCGTTGACACCAGCATTTCTCAGAAATATTGCTAGTGATAGTGGACTGGTGATCGATTACAGAGACTGGCAAATACCACTCGGCAGACGATTCAGGTCATTGAAGATCTGGTTTGTATTAAGAGCTTTTGGTGCAAACGGTCTGCGAGAACACATTCGTAAGGTGTTAAAATTTATTAGTGTATACAAGTATCTTTACATTATAAGGCGACGCATGACCATCTAAGACATTCTCTGCAACTCGATTGTTAGTCTATTAAGTTAGCACAAAGGTTTGAAGAGGAACTCTCTAAATATCCTAACTACTTTGCTATAACCACCAAACCGGCATTTTCGCTCGTGTGTTTCCATCTCAAAGTTCAGAAGAACACTAATATGGCATCTAACGAGTTAACGACTGCCCTATACAACAGCATAAATAACTCGCGCGAACTCTATGTTACACAGACAAAACTGGGTTCTCAAAACGTCATCAGATTCGTTGTCGGGAGCCCCTGGACGACTGAACAACATGTTGTAGATGGCGTTAGAAAAATAGTTAATTTTACGGAAGCAATTATAGAAGACGCCGAGTTAACTATTGAATAAGCGGTATTACTCAAGGGGCTATTGATCAAGAGTAACACATTTTAATGGCAGAGCCAATTCAGTCATGTACAACATGTTGGGCAATTATTTTGGCTTCTTCGTAAAATTGACCCTTGTACTAACACACGAGTTGATTTCATTAAAGTGGGATATTTCCATGTTTCTTTGGAGGATTCTTGAGATTTTTGCCTTTGAGCACCTCGAGATCGTCGATAATCCGTCGTCTTGTATGAGCAGGAAGCACTACACATAAACAGTGAGAAATTTGTACTCAACAAGAAGTGAACCGGAATAAAATTCTCTCTGGATTTAGACCAATAGTATGAACTAACCGATATCGTCAACGAAGCCACGTTGAGCTGCCGGCAGGGGGTTAGCAAATTTATCTATATATTCTGCTTCTGCTTTACTATGATCCTCAGAATGACGGAATATAATCGCAACAGCACCCTTCATTAAAAAGATTAAATTAGTATGCACAAACTGTCACAGTCATGAACGAGATATGACGTAAGGTTAAATACCTTAGCCCCCATTACGGCAATTTCACCAGTTGGCCAAGCATAATTCATCTACAAATATAGTTTTGTATTTTAAATGATATGACAGATTGAAGATGTCAGTACGACCTATCCAAAACATACATCTCCGCGAAGATGTTTACTTGACATGACATCATAGGCTCCACCATACGCCTTCCTGGTAATTATAGTAATTTTTGGAACGGTGGCCTAGCAACAGAGAATCACGTAAATCACATAATCGCAGCTTAACTTATCTTCGAATAAGTAATCGTTACCTCAGCATATGCATATAGCAATTTTGCTCCATGTCGAATAATGCCGTTATGTTCTTGTGCTGTTCCCGGCAAGAAGCCAGGTACGTCCACGAGGGTGATAATTGGGATATTAAATGCATCGCAGAATCTAACAAACCTAGCACCTTTGATTGATGAATTAATGTCTAAAACACCGGAAGAAACCAATGGCTGGTTCCCAACAATCGAAACTGTCTTTCCATTCATTCTTGCAAAACCAATAATGATATTCTTTGCGTATTCCGGCATGATCTCAAAGAAGTTACCATCATCAACGAGACGGGTAATTACATCACGAACATCATAGGCTTTAGTGGAATCTGCAGGGATGATATGGTTCAAAGAGTGATCTTCGCGATGTGGTGAATCATCGCTGTAACGTGTTGGAGTCGGCTCGAAATTAGAGAGAGGAAGGAAATCGATGAAATCTCGAACACTGAATATCACGAAAGTAGTAACGTAAGAGTCATATCGAACAAATAAAGAATAACCAACTAGACCTTTTTACCGTTGGAGAGCTTCCAGATCGTTCTCAAATGCATTATGTACGACGCCTAATAAAACGTAAACTTCATTTCACACGAACATGGGAAACGTCCAATCGTTTATTATAGTCATATCTTACCGGACATGACTGTATGTGCTTTAGCACCACCAAGCTCCTCTTGTGTAACTTCTTCATTACAAACTTCTTTAACGACATCTGGTCCCGTTACAAACATGTACGAAGTGTCTTTCACCATAAACGTGAAATCCGTCAGTGCAGGTGAATAAACAGCACCACCTATTGAAGATGAAACGAGCCAGTGAGCGCCACAAATCATAAAACCTTCTTAAGTTGTAATTTTAATACCTGCACACGGCCCCATGATCAACGAAATCTGTGGAATAACACCGGAGGCAAGAACGTTCCTCTCGAAAATCTCCGCATATCCTGCTAAAGAATCCACACCCTCCTGAATCCGAGCGCCACCAGAATCATTCAAACCGATGACGGGGGCGCCAACTAAGACGGCTTTATCCATTATCTTGCAGATTTTTTCTGCATGCATTTTAGACAAGCTACCACCGAAGGCCGTGAAATCTTGGGAAAAGACAAATACACGACGTCCATTGATAGTACCATGTCCAGTAACAACGCCGTCACCAGTGACCTGTAAATAGAGAAGTTTAATACAAGGGTATACATAGGTTTTCTAACATCTGGTCATTATCCACCGTAGCTTTGAGCAAATAAAGAAACTATGATAGAACACGTGAAATGTTGCATGTAATTATATATATCAACTTTGACTTTGATGGTGACAGCATGAAATGAAAGGCTAACAAGTTATCCACCTGACCAAATATTATCAATTATTAAGTATCCGTGGACTTGATAAAACATTACCTTATTTTTATCCATGCCAAAATCAACGCATTGATGCTCAACGAATGCGTCATATTCCACAAAAGACCCTGCATCCAGTAGGAGGTCAATGCGTTCTCTAGCCGTGAGTTTACCCTGTATACTATTGGTAATTAGATCATCACGGATATGCCATGATTCAATACAACGATCAGGCCTTACTTTCTTATGTTGAGCCTCTATTCTTGCTAAGCCACCACCCAGTTGGGCTTCTGCTCTCTTGCCTTCGATACGCGCTATTACATCCTTTACGATATGAGAATATCAAGTTGAGTATTCATTTACTGGTTATCCCTCTTTAGCTTCATATATTCATATGGCCAAAATACCTCTTCCTTAGTCCGTCCTGAGGCGTATCTGACGTGAGCCGAGCCCAGAGGTGGAAGCAAAATTTTTGTGAGGGGCTTATATTCGTTAACGGTTCTAGAAACATGTGCTGCTAATGGTGACAAGTTCCGGATAGGGGCTCTAAGAGTACGCGTTAACGTAAATGTACTCAATCGATACATTCTAAAAGTATCTTGTTAATCCAAATGTTCTGAATATCTGGGAGAATAAATGATTGTATGTCAAACATTGATATATCAAAGATATGCATCACCTCATTTCCCTTATGTCGTGCCAGTATGCATACCCATGCTATCATCAATCGCCTGATTTTAATGTGTTAACCAAAAAAAAGTTTGTGCAATAAGATTAGCCAACCGTTGGATATCGTATGATTGTCCTGCTCGCGATCCAGACAATTATCCTCCAAAGTATTTCCACAGAATTTCAGCAAGTCAAAAATTCATGACGATACCTCAAATCATATCTCTTAGTTGCTTGGGTGTTCGTCTGACAACAAGTAACCTAGCTGTTGTTCAAAAGAATGCTTTAATTCGCACTTTAATCTATAGCTCAGCAAGGTCATACCATTCATCATTCGCGTCGCAATATGCCCATGTAACAGAAAACAATAATCTTGAATATGGAAAGGAAAGTGATATAAAGCAATCGTCGATTATAAAGCTTGTGTTGTATGTTAAGAATACGGCATAATTTACTTCGTCGCCTAAAGTAAAAACATAGTTTATTCAATGACCAATTGAAGAACGCCTTGTATTCACTTCCATCAGCATTAAAACGAGGGCCAAATTTCTTTATTGATCGTTTCAAATGTATTGTACAGACTTTTGATAAAATTCTCGTTGCCAATCGCGGTGAAATTGCTTGTCGCATCATTCGGACAGCGAAGAAGATGGGTATAAAAACTGTGGCTATCCATTCGGATGCAGATGCCCATAGTTTGCATGTGCGGATGGCAGATGAAGCCGTAAATGTGGTATGTAGTGGTGTAAAGATTAATAATGGGGCAACAACTACTAGCTAGTCTCCACTCGTAACATTTGTATTGAATTTTTGATTAGGGGCCAGCACCATCAGCTCAGAGCTATCTTAACGTCCCAGCAATTCTAGATGCAATAAAGAGTTCTGGTGCTCAAGCTGTACATCCAGGTCTGCTATTTCTGGCTTCTTCCTAGTTATCTAATCGTTTCTTTTTGCTCTTGCACCACCAAATGAAACATATATTTGCGTACCGTAGGTTATGGGTTCTTGTCCGAGAATGCTGCTTTTGCCGAAACATTAGATAAGGCGGGCGTTGTTTTCATTGGACCTGGACAAGCGGCTATGGCTGCGATGGGCGACAAGATTGAAAGTAAGATCATAGCCAAGAAAGCTGGCGTCAACACGATCCCGGGTTACGACGGGGCAATAAGCGGAGTGGATCATGCCTTGGAAATCGGTAATTTCGATGATACTATCAATGCACACTTCTGTCGCTAGTTTATCGACTTGTCATGCTTACCAATGTTTTACGTCAACAGCAAACTCTATCGGATATCCAATAATGTTAAAGGCATCCGCGGGTGGAGGTGGTAAAGGGATGCGTATTGCATGGTAGGATCCTAATCCTTTATTATAATTGGACACGAAACCCTCTTTTTTTTTTCGTAATATCAACCCAATTTTTAAAATGATAGGAAGGATTCTGAAGTTGCCGAGTCATTTAAACTGGCAAAGCAAGAATCAAAAGCTAGTTTCGGTGACGACAGATTATTAGTCGAAAAATACGTTGACAACCCTCGTCACATCGAAATCCAAATACTAGCCGATAAACATGGGAATACATTTTATTTTCCTGAACGTGAATGCTCTATACAGCGTAGAAATCAAAAAGTAAGTAATTGGTTGAAAGCTTCTTCCAATATCCATAAATATTGACTCACCGTAGCTCCCTTAATTCCTATGAAGGTCATTGAAGAAGCTCCCAGCGTTCACTTAGACGAAAAGACTCGCCGCGCAATGGGTGAACAGGCTGTTTCTCTGGCCAAGAATGTTGGTTACTCTTCTGCAGGCACCGTAGAATTCTTAGTCGATCCTCAGCGTAATTTTTATTTCCTGGAAATGAACACGCGCCTCCAAGTTGAGCATCCAATTACTGAATTCATCACAGGATTTGATCTTGTTGAACAAATGATTCGTATTGCTGCTGGACAAAGGTTACCTTTTGCACAGGAAGACATTAAGTCTAATGGATGGGCGTTTGAATCACGTGTATATGCGGAGGATCCAGAAAAATATTTACCATCTATCGGGCGGTTGAGCAGATACATCGAACCTGTTAGCCTAACTGATAAGCATGAAGTTAGATGCGATTCTGGCATTGTGGAGGGGAGTGAGATTAGCATATATTATGATCCTCTTATTTGTAAATTGTCGACTTATGGGGAAACGAGAGATGACGCAATACAAATAATGAAGAGGGCTTTGGATTCCTATGTTATAAAAGGTCAATAAGTATCTAATTCTTAAATAAGTTAAATTGTCTACCCCGCTTGAAATTTATAATATTTATTATACTTGTAGGGGTGACGCATAATATACCGTTGTTAAGAGAAGTCTTTGGCAGTAAACGATTCCAGTCGGGTAATATTTCGACCAAGTTCCTTGCCGAAGAATATCCTGGTGGGTTTAAAGGCCATATACTCGATAAGGAGTCTCTATTCCAATTAGCATGTGTTGCTGCTTTGGTTCATGCGAAGCGAGATGTTCGCAATTGGTGCTGGGGAGAAGGTCAGGAAGCTTTATTAAAGGGAGACCTAGCCGGAGTGGTTCCTAAGCGTTGGGATCTTTATGTGAAGATAAATAACAGTCAGGGTGGATTGGAAGTTGTCCATGTTGAAGTTGAGAGGAAAAGCCAAAGTTTGCAAGGCACGGCTGTATTTCAGGTATAACAGAACGTCTGATATAAAGTATTTTAGCAAGCAATGCTGAAATTCCTTTTGATTTAGATTAAAACGCCAAATCATCCAGTAACTGTCGTTAGATCTGATTGGCCCCTAGAATCTCCGCTGATCGATGCGCACTTCCATTCTGATGATGGCGAGGAGAAGACAATTATTGTTCAATACGTCGATCCTTTACCACTTGGATTCCGATTGCAAAGACATGGAACTAAATTCGATATTACGATACATACTGCACGACAGCATAAACTCAGCGAACATATGATAGAGAAGCCAAAGAAGGATTTGTCTAAAGTGATTCAAAGCCCCATGCCTGGCAGTGTAGTGAGCGTTTCCGTAAATGTCGGAGACATGGTAGGAATATATATTGTTGCGCGTGCATGTATGCGATATACTGACGTTTTACTTATATTAGATGTTTTATTCTACTATGACCTAGGTTTCCGAGGGTGCAGAAGTAGCAGTTATCGAGGCAATGAAGATGCAAAATGTATTGCGTGCATCGCGTGCTGGTAAAGTGAAGGACATTAAAGTGAAAACAGGTAGTGCGGTGGCAGCAGAAGAAGTATTAATAGTGTTCGAAGATGAAGAATAGCAATCTATGTATTGAAAATGTTAGCATCATTATATATACAAACACATATAATATCGCGACAATCTAGGGGGTTAGAAGATCCATTGCTTCTTGGTGTCTTTTTAAATTGTTCAATATTCAAAGCATAGTAATAGATTGAAATTCTTTTTCTTTTAAGAGTTAAGATGAAGAGATAAGAAATAGTAAGAGATCAAGAAATATACAGGAACTTTTTCTTTTTAAAAGAAAAGGAATAAAGAAATATTGGGACCAAAAGCTATGAACAAACTAACGCTTGCAATATTCCTCTTAACCGACAAGAATTCCGAAACGTTATAATTTACGAACGTTCACCCATAAAGATTGGTTTTACCTCTTGACCTTCATTCTCATAATGTTTCAGAATAATCATGATTTTTCCTGGATTCAATCTCTACCAAAATTGCATTCCCATGACTTATTCTTCGATTTGGTAGTAGCTATCAACCGTATTTTACAATAGGTTGCGTGAAGGTATAGATATAAATCGTCTTTCCACGTTACCGAAGTATTGACTGATCTCTTTCTAAATATAGTCCGATGTCACATGATAGGTTTATCGGGTATAAAACGCAAAAATAATGAACACAGGAATTCACGTTTCTGGGTTTTATCTCGCAACAGCACAAAATATTATAATTAGAAATAGCTAAAGAGCGTTGTGTTTTTTCCGCAACAGCACAAAATACTGTAATTAAGAAAGCAATGGATAATGGAATGACAAGAATCAGCTAACGTCTTAAAAAGAAACGCGCATTATTGTAATAAGAAAACTTTTATTACAATGTGCCAAAAAAACGTATCTCAATGCGTTGAGAATTTAGACGTTATACTCAAGCTTCTGTAAATCAGCGACGAAGGGATTGTCAATTCTCATTAATAATCTATTGTCTTTGCTGTTTCTTCTATCCAGTCGATAGGTAAATTATTTATTCGTTATCGAGGATTATTCCGATTAATCGAATAAAGAGATCTAATACGTGTCTATTAATAATAAAATATCACTGACATACACTCCCTGGACTAAAGTATCCGATGAAGTTTATGCAACATCCAGTATAATGATTATAAACCATTTTTATATCATTTTGTAGCTTAGCTTTTCGCGAATCTGCATGTCAAATTTGAAGTGTTTAGCTTTCTTGATCAATGAACTATTAAACAAAACGTAACTATCAATTTCGCCGATCTTTGGCTCTAAAAGTTTGTTTTATTTTAATACTGAGTTGGCCATCCATTCACTATTCGAAATACATGCCTCAAGCCTTCTTGGCATGCTCTTAATCAAATTGGAATATGTTTGATGAGGCGTTTTTTACGATTATTTAGCCGGCTTTCAAGCTCATCCCAAAGGCGTTCAATTGGATTAAGGTCAGGACATTGAGATGACCAGTCAGGTAAAATCTTGATTTTCTTTTCTCTAATCCAATTGGTAACACCTTTTGCTGTATACACAGGAGCATTAAATCACTTTCATCTAAAATTCTAATACTGTATAATCCTGATGATTTATCTTTCCATCCACACGTACTAATGGACCCATACCCTTTCCTGAAAAGCATCCCCATACCATTATTCCACTACCGCTGTGTTTAACTGGAGGTATAATATTTCAATATTGTGACGTTCCCCGGCTCTTCGCCATTTACGTTTTCCTTTATATAAATTTTGTGAGCCAAAAATCGGTGAAATTGATTTTAATTGCGGTTACGTTTTGTTTAATAATTCATTGATCAAGAAAGCTAAACACTTCAAATTTCTCATGCAAATTCACGAAAAGCTAAGCTACAAAATGATATAAAAATTTTGTATAATAGTTATACTGGTGTTGCAGAAACTTGAAAAAACTCCCATCGGATACTTTAGTCCATGGAGTGTACGTTCCTAACTTCCCAGTTAAATTGTATTGATACGTCGCATTACTGATCACATGATCACATGATTTTGTCGAGAGAGACCGCGTCTGTGCTTGTTCATGAATCATTCTTAATCCTATACACCAATTTTACAAATGTTTTTTGTTTCAATAACACTTTGAAATGCAAGTATTATATCTTCTATTTCTGTCAAGAACTATTGGTTGTGCTTTATAGCAAATGCTTCCATGCTGTGAAGTTGGCGTCAGAATGCACAAGAACATGGTCGCTGCAATTGCCATAATGACATGTTGCAGGTCATCAAGTCCTTTTTCAATCTTGGTTCTGCTGTCCCCAACTACAAAATCATTGTACGTTTCTGGTCTGCCTTTTGCAACTGTTAGTATTAGTGTGTCTTGAGTCAGTTTACTGCATCTTCCATTACAGTGTCAATACTGATATATTCGGCCTTTGTGACCAATGATGTACTATTGAAAGTAGGGTTGGGCAATTCACTGTTCCCTAATCATGATTTTGATAGTCATCCATATTGATTTATAAGATGCCTTGTGACATCAACAACGCCAGGCACTCATTCAGAGAAGGCTCTTAATATCAGCGATCACTAAAACATCCATCGAGACGAATATCTGCATGTAACGTAAAGAATACTATTTTATACTACTATTACATGTTACAAAGAGTAGGAACCGCCCTAACAAGTTATACCGTACGTGTGTTGAGTCTAACTGCAAAGGATGACAACTGTATTTGGCAATGGGAATATATTAGTAACTTATTTGATATAAAGAATGTCTTTACGCGTAATAATCTATTCATCCTCATCAACATGAAATGGGCAAAGATAGAAATTTGAAAAGAAAATAACAAAATAAAAATAATCTAGCAGCACTTTCCCCCGGCCTCTTTATGGTCGTCAGGTAAAGGAGTTACGTGAATGGTTTCACCAGAAGTTGGTCTAGGGAAATCTCCGCTGCTGTTCTCCAAAGCTTTGTTAGAAACGATACGGTATATTTCTGATGTTGATTAATAAAACATATTGTTAGTAGAAACATAAACATTCTTTGAGCATATTCGGTGGCTTAACATTAGTAATGTAAATGTATCACATATATAGAAAGACTGCTACCTGTCAGAATGTTTTGAAAAGCTAATTCTACGTTACTGGCATCCAACGCAGAGGTCTCAATAAAAGATAGGTTATTCTCGGCTATTACATTATGCGATAAAAACGTGAGTTATGTTACGATAATGTCGATCGCGTTAAGTACACCCTAGTTGCATAACTTAATTCAAGCAATCTTATCCTGAAGACGTCTCTCTTCGTTTTTATAATGTATATTTATTGTAATATCATCGTTACCTGCGAACTGCTTCGCCTCTTCAGTGGTTACTGCTCTGAGGTGTCTTAGATCACTTTTGTTGCCAACGAGCATTATAACGATATTGCTGTCAGCATGATCTCTCAGCTCTTTAAGCCATCGAGTAACATTATCGTATGTCACATGTTTGGCAATATCGTAAACAAGTAAGGCTCCGACTGCACCACGATAGTAACTATTATATAAATCAATCAAGTTTGATTAATGTTTGATAATAACATGCAATCACAAACAATGAGTCAGGCAATAGATAACCGAGACATACGCGCTTGTGATAGCTCTATAACGTTCCTGACCAGCTAGTTGAGTAATGATAGAAAGAATAAGATACGATAACACACAGATTCAAATAGCATGAATGAAAGAGGATTATACCGGTATCCCAAATTTGAGCTTTGATGGTTTTGTTATCTACTTGGATACTTCTTGTAGCAAACTCAACGCCGATAGTAGACTTGGATTCCAAATTGAACTCATTACGCGTGAAACGGGAGAGCAAGTTTGACTTGCCAACGCCCGAGTCTCCAATCAATACAACTAGTGATAGAATTAGACATTGTTGAATGTATTACGTTTTATCGTTGTGTTCAATCACCATTGAATAACTTTGCGTTTGAGTTATCGTTTTGTTATTGTAATCATCTGACCAAGTCTGTCAAATAAGGACAGCAAATAGCACTTGGCACAAAGGTGTGTACAAAGGTGCGTTATTACCTTTGAAGAGATAGTCATATTCGTCGTCTTTACTCATAGACATGTTCACTAACGGTTTCAGGTATTATAGTACTATTATTAATGGAGGGTTAGGTTTGTCCAAAAGACTGCAAAGTTTTCCCCTTGTTCTTTCCTGCAGCTATTTTTGAAGGGCGTCTGCAATACCAAAAAAGTTATTTTGGTGTGGCTGTGATGAATTACGATGAAATGAGTGATGTCGTTATATTTATCTCGTGATGAGCCGTCAGTAAAACTGCACGTGAAGATAAAGACACTTTGTTTTGTGTAATCTATTAGCCAAAGACATAAGACATAAGGAATAATTCATACATATCACGTGTAAGTGTTAGCATATCGACCGCCGATCGTACAAAATAAGGCCACCTTTTACCATTACTCCTTCCAACCGAGCAAACTGGCAGCTTTCCTGGTTTCGACTATACTACTCCTCTCTCCATGATTATGCTCTACAAGCTCGTTGTGCTTGGGGACGGTGGTGTCGGAAAGGTAATACAAAGTCATAAACATTCTTTTGTTACTAATATTTATCACTCGTTGCTTTTGCTCGCCTTTAACAAACTCGAAACACTTTGCCTCAATCTACCTTAACAATAGACCGCCCTCACAATTCAGGTTGGTTGCTAATGCTATTTTGATAATATGTAGCAATATTGCGAAACGACAGAGTACTTCTCTTTGCTTATACGATTATCTTCACTTTTAATTTTTATAGCTGTGTCTAAACCATTTTGTGGGTAAGTATACGTTGTTTAGAGTAAACGAATTTCTCGAATTCATTCATAATGAGAATATTCGTATCACATTTGATTATTTTCCTAATGGCGCAATAAACTGATAATATTGCGTTCTTATAACTTTAACAGAGGTGAGATAAGATGTTTGGTGAACGCTGTTCTTCGTATCGAGTATCGATTAATGCTGTCATGAACTATCTATTAGACATACGATCCTACGATAGAAGATTCATACCGCAAACAAGTAGTAATAGATGAGCAGCCATGTGTACTCGAAGTATTAGACACTGCAGGCCAAGGTATGCCACCCATCACAACTTGCCATGATATCAGATTTCATAGCTCAAGATTCGTTATACGAAATTATTAAATACCTTCATAAACAAATGTAGAGGAATACACGGCCTTGCGTGACCAATGGATTAGGTGAGTAGATTCATGATTGTAAGCTAAAAAGTAATAATAAGCATATCCGCATCATACTAACCAGCTGCATCACATTTGAACAGAGACGGAGAAGGCTTTCTTCTTGTTTATTCTATATCTTCTCGTTCGACTTTCGAACGGGTGGAACGCTTCCGGGATCAAATAACTCGGGTGAAAGACTCGGAATCAGTACCACTTATGTTAGTGGGTAACAAATGTGATAAAATCACAGAACGGGAAGTATCTCGGGAAGAAGGCCAGAACATGGCTAAGAAGCTCGGGTGTGAGTTTATTGAAAGCTCAGCAAAAACTTGCGTTAATGTGGAACGAGCATTCTACAATGTTGTTAAAATGATAAGGGCAAGGAAAGAAGGTGGTAACCAAGTTAAAAAGAGTCATAGGAGGCATAGATGTATTTTTTTATAAGAGACCAGGTTTTTTAATGTAGATAGAATATTCATCGATTATGTTTATTTACTCCCCTTCTCCTTATTTTGTACTTAACACTTTATGATTGCACCATCACTTAATGGATGTGCAAATTATAGTCCCATAGCAATTAATTATTCTTTCGCTGTTATAATTACTACGGTCAAACGCTATATCGCTTTCAATCTATGCTAGACGCTTCGGACAGTGTTGACAGCTTGCAAGTCAACGAGGTTATACTGTCTAACCAAACTTTCATATAAAATAACGATCTGTTCAAACATGATTTGGTTATCAACTACACATTTCTTATGTCAAAATTCTGTCCAACTAAACGTTTGTATCTTATTTTAATATTTACTATTACTAGCAGTCCTTTAGCTCCGGTTTATGTTTCAGTGTTTACCATTTAAGGACTGCCAAGTAAGGGGCATCGCCAAGCCACGAAACATTTGTTCTTTGGCTTTGTGTAAAGAGGCTGGCAATGGAAGACCGTTTCTGTCAATAATGTTGTACATCTATCTATTTATAGAAACAGCTATACGTTCGGAGTGTCTCAGCCGAGTTCCTCCCCTCTTCTCTCTTAAAGTAAAGATATTCTATAAATGTATCCGTATGCACTCCGAACTATTATAAATATATTTCTACGTTTGTAAAGAATGCGCCAAACTTATTAATTGTAGCACATTTCTCCTTACTCGTCTCTATCAGGAAGCTAATTGTTACCCTCTTTCCTACACAGTTTTTGCTTGTGTTACAGATAACGCCACTTAATTGAGATTGGTGATTGGAGCATTTTTGTTTTACGTTATATATCTTTGCATTTGTAAGCATGAGGATAAAAAACCAACTCGCCTCTTCCCCCGCCCCATAATCATTCAGCTTCCAAGCCACACTAACAGCCCAGTTCACCCGACTACTTTTGTTTCTCCTAATAATATGGATGCCAAAGTCGCAAGTAATACTACTACTACTATTACTACAACCGTTCTAAACTCCGCCAACCTCAGTAGTGGCGCAACAGTCGAGTCTTTAAAGCCTAGCAACACATCAGTAACTCATAGTGGTGAAGCCGTTTCAGTAACCGCGCTGGAGAGCTCGACCGCACAGCAATCTCAATTGGAAGGTAAACAGCTTGCACATAATGCAGATTATTCAACAATCCCAGCCAGTCCTGTTCATAGGGAACAGCCACATAGTGCTTCTACGTCACCACACTCAGCTCCACTCTCTTCGAACATAACCACAGAGATGAAGTCGCTGACGACCCCCCCTACCTTATCGCAAGTAAATAATAGCTTTCCTTCCTCCCAGGATATCATATTGCTAGGACCAACTGTAGGACGGCTTACGTCTTCCCCAACACAGTACACTTCGGAAACCATCCCCTCTCCCTCAACATCCCTGAACCAGTCTCCTTCCGGCTCGTTCATATTTGCGCTTAATCCAAAGGCAACAACGCAAGGACAGCCGAAAAGTCCAAATCCGCAAAAGCCAAAGCCGTATGTGTGTACTGAATGTAATCAAACATTCAGTCGTCAACATAATCTAAAATCACACGCTTTGACGCACTCGCAAGAGAAACCTTTCAAATGTGAAATATGCCATCATTTTTTCAGACGCCACCATGACTTGAAGAGGCACTCGAAACTGCACACTGGTGAGAAACCATACACTTGTGAGTACTGTAACAGAAGTTTTGCTAGACTGGATGCTTTGAATAGGCATTTGCGCGCTGAGAGTTTCTGTGGCGGTTCGCAAAAGAAAATATTCCGCAACACCACGATGCCGATAGCCCAGCAGTCTAATCAATCTGATCGGATTGAAACGGCAGGTTCAACTTTGCAGTCTCAGTCTCAAGTTTTGGATTTCTCAAAGACGCAGCCAACCAAACAACAAACGCTAAGTCTTGAGAATGCTAAGCAGCAATTGCTACAACATACGGACATAGTAAATTCTTCGATTGTCCATAATAATCCTATAAATGGTGATTCTGGAACACCACTTGGATCAGGAAGCCAGGATGTGCTTAAAAGACATCATTCCCAACTCACCGAGCAAACTCGAAAATCCTGGCAATCACAACTGCAGAAGGGTGCTCTGGGCGCTACATCATCAACCAAGTCCGGGAGTATGAGCAAACCTGTTCTTCCAAATCTAGTGATTCCAAATAGGATGATGTCTGCGCCACCGCAATTTGTGTTTTCAGTGGAATCGACTTCAACACAATCTACAGGACCACCATCGCAATATCATCCTATGCCATTTACCCAGACTCCGACGGAATACACTAGTCAGGGGAAGGAACCAGTTCGTCGTCAGACAGATACTATGTCTGTTCAGATCGAGGATGGTAATCTCAACAACTACATAATAAAATTGAAAGAGCACAATGAATACTTAAAAGGAAGAGTAGAAGAGCTTGAGAATGAAGTAATTAACGAACGTAAGGAACGAGGAATTCGAGAATTTCTTGAAGAAAAAGTTAAGGCTCTGGAGATTGAGGTAACTTTCAATTTTTATTTCAATAGGAAGTTCGGAAAAAAGTATTTGTCTCACAGAAACCTTTCTTTCCTATTCTAGAAAAATCTCCTGAAAAACTTGTTACTTGAGCGTGACAACCATGCAGTGCCAGAGTCTACGAAACGAACGGAAAAGAAAAGAAAGGCGTCAATTATAATCGAGCAATCGTCACCCAAACATCATAAAGATGATGACGAAATAGCTGTAATATCGCAGTCGACGCAATAATATTAGAAGAGTTTGTGTCGTCATGTATCATCATTCTACCACTTATATACGCTGTATGGGTTACAGTGATGGTAGGCCTTTGCTACATTGGTAGCAAGAGGATCAGCGAGCACGTCAGGAAAACGTAGCCTTACTTTTTACCAGACATACTTGAATATGTCTTTTTAGGCTTGCTGCCCAACTTGTCTTAATGGCCTGATTATTGCAAGATAGCAGTGAGCATTGCTACTTATTTTCGCTATTGAAAGTGTAGAGTATTATAATTTGATAGTATCGCAATCTCGCTTATCATAATTATGTCGGCCTCTCCAAAGTAATTACTAAGACAAAAAGCTCTTACTACCTTCTACGGGAGGATCGCAATATTGTAAATGTTATGATTTATTAAGATGATAAACATTGAATATATACACCATGTTCGTATATAGAACTTTGTGGAATCGGCATTGAAAGTAGTATGTAAACCCCTTGTCCGAATGACCTAGGCATGTGTTCTATATAGTAGGTGGGCGGTAATACCAGAAATCGGTTACTATAATTCGACTATTACCATTACAATATCAGAAAATGGGTTTTCAGTCTTTCCCAAATCTGTTAACGCGACCTATTAACAGAAAGCTTGAATTTTACATTTAATGTGTACACTCCCGTGGCAAAAGTCACCGACCACTCCCTATATTTG